CTAAACCTATAATCCCTAAACCCTAATTTAGGTGTGTTCGCCCTAATGCAGGGGCCTTAGGGTTTGGTTGGGGGTATAGTATACCATAACTATAATAAGGAACCCCCAACAGAGAATATAGGTAAGCACTAAGGCCTCTATATTCAAGCCTAAACCCTCGACCCTAGGGAAGGATAGGTTTATAGGCGATTGGAAAGCTTTGGAGCTTGAAGGGTTTAGGGGTTTAGGGTTTAGGGTTTCGGGCTGCGGATTGCGAACAAGTTCTTCGTGAAGGAGGCATGACTGGGAATACTTACGAAGAGATCCCACCAGAAAGGGCACCTGAACTCTACTAAACCCTACACCCTAAACCGTGGTATTCCGGGCTTGAAAACACGAGGATGAAGGTTTACCCCTAAACCCTAAACCGCGGTATTCCGGGTCTTGAAACAACGAGGACATGAGCTTCGCGAAAATAATATCTGAATACCCTAAACCCTAAACCCTATAAACCCTACACACCCGAAACCCAAAATCGAATCGGCCTTAGAAGTTCGTGCAGGTCTCCCCACAGCGTCGCTTTCAATGAAGCTAAAGCAGGTTTGGGGCTGAGAGTCTAATGTAGGGGCTTTAATTTTAGTTTTTAGGGCCTAAACCCTAAACCCTAAACCCTAAACTCGGTGCCCATTTTACTATAGTTTTAATAAGAAGTCCTAAGGAATAATATGAGGATTTGTTCTTGGCCTTAACCCCAAAAGCCCTTGAACAACATGTAACATAGGGATAGTATGTCCTGAAAGGAGCAGACTTCTATCATTCCCTCCAGAAACCCTAAACCCTCCACCTTAAATTAACCCTGAAAGCCAAACCCTAAACCTTAAACCCTAAACCCTAAACCTGAAACCCTAAACCCTGAACCCCAATCTACCTTAACCCGCTCTGGAGCCCCCGGGCACGCCTGGAAGGATCGCACTGAACCCCCCGCCATCGTCCGGCTGCAACTTCGCGATGGCCGCAATGTCCTGAGCTCCCAGCTTTCCACGTTGAAAAGTTTATAGGGTTTAGGGTCTACGGTTGAGGGTTCAGGGTTAAAGGTTCAGGGTTGACGGTTTAGGGTTTGAGGGTTTGGTGCCTCGAAACCCGCCCCCTAATTCAGAATAGGTCTGAAAGGACAAGCAGAAGGTTCAGGGTTTACGGTTTAGGGTTTGAGGGTTTGGAGGGTAGCTTGAAGGCGTTGCTTGTGTGCCTGTGTGTCTGGCTGTTGTTGCTTTGCTTTTTGAAGGAGGAGGCACGGGGTGAACGACGGGAATCGAACATATCAACATATCAAAAAATGAGCAACTCACAACAGCATGTGGCAAACTGCACGAAAAGGAGGACGAGACGACGAATCCCTGAGCAGAAAACACCGGAACCATAACCTTAAGCTCTGTAGCCTAAACAGTCATGTCATGAGCCCTGCAAAACCCGCTCAATCTACTGGACAAAACTCTAGAAAGACCCTATGTAGGCCATTATCAGAACTGTACTTGCAAAGCCTAGGCCTAGGACTCTAATATAGGGGCCTTAATAAACAGAATAGGGTTTTTTGGGATATAGTCTACTATAATTATAATAAGGAACCCACAAAACAGTATAGGTAATTATTGAGGCCCCTACATTAGGAAGTTCTTGGCCACGGCACTGCTTCTCTGCGTGCAGTCTCCTCGCTCGCGGGCCACCTGAGCTTGACCAAGACAAGCAAGCAAACATCGTTGGTTCAGGGTTTGAGGGTTTAGGGTTTAAAGTTTGGGGCTTAGGACACCAACCACACACACACACAGCTACCTAGGAACGGCTGAGCGTTAACTACTGAAGCTAGCCATAGAGAACTAGCTTGTGGGTTTGGGGTTTGGGGCTTTCGGATTGGGCACGCGATCGTTCAACGGAAGTAACTCCGCTAACAGTGATCCTATTAAGCCGTCAAGAAAGCCATAAAACCCTAAACCCTACACCCTAAACCCTCAACCCTGAGTCCTGTATAGGTCCCAACGCAGGGGCCTATAAGACTATAATGGTTCGGAGTGTAGGGAATAGTGAGATTGAGGGTTTACGATTCAGGCGAGGGACCCTTGCACCTAAAATCCCACAACACTGAAATCCTGCGACCGACTGGCTGTGAAGGCTTTCCGTGGGTCCGTGAAACCGCCTGAATTATTTGTGAATAAAATAGTTTATGCATCCAACACATAGAATACCCGACTGGCCAACATGGACCGATCTCTAGTAGGCTATTTCGTAGAACTCTGCCAACTTCCCTAAACATTAAGCTCTGCCGTGAAGGAATTCAACTCAGTAGTGAGTGATGCCTGCACTGCCCTCCCCATGTAACCACATACGCCTTCGCCCTCAACAAACGCCCGCTGTGTTTCAAATGCTCAATAGAAACTACCTACCCTGAACTTTTACATCCAGAACAGAAACCACCTATAGGTTTTTTTACCTACCCTGAACCCTTACATCCGCAACAGAAACTACCTATAGGACATTGGAGCGAGTGGGCAGGCCTGTAAACCCTGAACTCGGCTCAACTCTAAACTCCCAGACACCCAAACCTCCAAAATTCAAGAACCCTAAACCCGAACCCCAAGCCCCAAATTCCAGAACCCTAAACCCTAAACCCCAAATTCAAGAACCCTAAACCCAAAGCCCCAAATTCAAGAACCCTAAACCCAAAGCCCCAAATTCAAGAACCCTAAACCCAAAGCCAAAAACTCAAGTCTTGAAGCCTGAAAGCCCCTCATGAACCCAAAATTGCTGTACCCAAAAAGCTGAATGGAACCCTTCAGGACCGCAAGCGTAACGTAGGGGCCTTGGTATTAACCCCAAAGCCTCTGAACCTCGAACTCTTAAACCCTTCTGCTGCCAAGCCACAAACCTAGCGATTCCACCACTGGCCAGGCTTCCTGCTTTGCAAAATAGTCTTCGAGGTTGGGGTTTTGGACCTTTGGCTTTTGTCAAGGGCGTTGTAGAGGTTCAACAAAGGGTCTAGAACGGGCTCTTTCGAACATGGGGTTTGGGAGCTAGGCTTAGGGCTGTTAGGGTTTGGGGTGTAGTTCTAATGCTCACCTGAATTTACAAAAGAAGAACAAGCTCCGTACTGTCAATACAACACGTTGACGTTCCGAGAGCGAGGGTTTGAGGGCTTGCACCAATGTTCACTGAGGATAACGCCCATAATGAACAGAATAACAAGATGGTGTTTTGCTTGCTGTCATCATCGCTATCAGAATTTTAAACTCGAGCTTAATGCTCCGCCCAGCCCAACCGCAAAGCCCTTACTCCCTATACGCACCTTCAACCCTCTTGCAGCCACGACACTTTAGCCATGATGTAGGGGCCTAAATAATTACCAATACTGTTTTTTTGGGGGGTACTTTTTGTAATTACAGCATAATGGGCCCCAAAACCCTATTCCAATTGTTAAGGCCCGTTAACTCTTTCACCCCAACATTCCTTTCCTCTACTGCAAACCCATGACCTGAAACTTTGCATGACCTTCGGAGGGACTTCTGCGGCACGTGGCAAGACTTCCGCATGAGGGTTTAGGGTTTAGGGGTCATGGTTTAAGGTTTAGGGGTTTGGGTTTAGGGAGGGCTTTATGTCCCACTCCTTCAGCACCCACGTAATCTATGCATTCAAGCGCTTGAACCGTCAACCTAAAGAAGCCCCCAAACAAACCTCGAATCTTGCAAACCCTACTATAAAAATGCAGATTTTCCACGGCCAGAGTATTCCCTAACCTCAACAATGCCGAAAGCATGCAGCCTTTCACCAGACCTGCGGGAGGATCTAGATCGAAAGTAGAACACCCTCGAAGGCCCGACAATAGGATTTTGGGGGTTCTTGATTATAATTCTAGTATAATCTACCCCAAACCCTATT